CACTTTTTATTTGGTGGTGATAAAAATTTTCCCTCAAAATTTACGCTGATTTCCAAAAATAGAAGTCAAAAATGAGAATTTTTTCCTAGTTTTATCGTATAAGAACCAATTTTGCAGGATAGATTTTCAAATGATTCGTTCCTTTAGAAAATGATGCCAAAGTTCAAATAACACTTACAATTATTTTATTTGAAAATTTCCAAAAATTTAAAGTTATAACTAGACTGCAGATATCTATGCATTTTTATATTTTTAAGAAGATAGTAAAAAGATGAAATTTATTCACTTAAAATTCAAAATTTATTCACTTACTTAATGTAAGGAGAATTATAGTCTAGTTGCACATATTTCCTTGCACTTTCTGCATTGTGTGCATTTTTCCACCATAATTTTTCATGGGTGCATAAAAATCTACAGTTTGATAATGCATTCACTCTATAGTACTAAGAATTAAAATTCAGGCTTCATCGTTAATAACACACTATTTACTTTCCATTTAATTGGAAAATATATACTCATTGTAAATAATATCAATATAAATTTACTAATGGAATTTTAATATTATTTTGAAAGAATGGTTGCAATCCGTAGTTCCTTCTGTAACTTTATTTTTCGTTTCTCGAATAAGTACCATGCAAAAAATTTAATATTGAATTTGAATATTGAATTTGAGTTCAATTTTGCAACAACTATATCTTAACAAATCTCTAATCCAAAAATATGTGCTGACGGTGACATATAATTTTTAATCATCTTCTACATGTAGTTCGTGTGATATGATTGGGAATTCATGAAAAGTTAACATAGTAATTTCTCACACCTAGTAATTTTGAATAATCCGGATAAGTAATAAGCCATAATATTGAGCATCGATTCTGTACTGGTGGTAGACAAGAATCCAATTGTAAAAATGAATATACAACCAAAAGATAAGATATCGACGTATATTGTTTGCTCGTGAGAGAACTCCATGAAATACTTAATTAAACGAGTTCGAGATTCGTTCCGAGGTTTTACGAAATCCATCATTATCGGAGTTAATATACTTGATGCGAAAGCTATAGTTCCCATACAATATGTGCCTAAAATTTGAGAAGATTAATGAACAACTTAAACTATCATATACCTTATATTATTTGTGTGATATCATCTGTTGTCATTGAATTAACAACGTTCACACAATTTTCAACATCGTACATGTTTTTAGTAAAATTGAAGGACGCAATTCAATAATAAATTTTATTAATTACTAAAGTACATTCATTCATACATCTTGTACAAATGTAAAGTCTAGATACACACTGTCACTCTCACTCACAGGCTTACACATAATTAGTTCGTGTTTCCCGCCCGCCACTTTTGCTCTCATTACAGTATGCACCCTTTCCGGCAAAATATAAAAAAAAATTCACTGCCTTGTCTACATTTTCTTCTGAATTTTTTTTTTTTTTATAGAGCAAGATCAACAGCATTCTTTAATAAATAAAAATGGAACATACATATTCTTTATTGCTTATCTTTCGCAATCGATACTCTGACAGTGGTATTCACTAATATACGCGGTGATTATAAACGAATGACAATAAAAAATTGTCGATAATTTAAATTGTTTAAAATTGTAAAAAATCATGTAATATTCCACTCGATTTCATTTTAAAGCATAAAGCCTTTATATTAATATTCGTGAGTTCTTTTTTAAAGATGACATCACATCATTTAGCGCACAAGAAATTCAGGCTATTTCTTTTCTTGAAAGTTTTAAAAATTGAAACTTTTCTAAAAACATTAAAAATTATTTTCATGACCAGATCCAGTAGCACTTTAAAAAATATCTATCCTTTATATGAACTTACACTTGCTGTAATATAATTTTTCAGCATTCTGTTGAACTTCGAATATTTGAAATTAAATTATAATATTTGAAAAGATCCTAACATTTATCCAACTCTAAAATTTGCAATTTAATAAAATAGTAAAAAAACAGTCTTAGAGAGAAATTTCAATCCTCAAAAAAATCGTGGATCATAACACTTAATTCGCTTAATGTAAAAATTGGAGGATTTAAATTTTTAAAAATGAAAGTCTTTGTTTTCCCACTTTTTATATCATTCATCATAAATTCATTTCTGTAAAAAAACGAATTCATAATCGGTAATGTAGAAAATTTATGTTTTCAAATAAAAGCAAGTGAATCATTATATGATGTATCTTTCCAAAATTATAATAGATGAAACTGTTTAAATAATCGATAGTTTTTCATCGTTATTGATTCACTTGCATTCTTCACGTATAATATTAGCCT